GGAATAGAACACAAAAAGGAGCATGAAATTGAGTTTTGTGTCTGTATTAAGAAGTTCAACCCGGGACCATGCTATTTTCAAAAAGATGTTTTATTTGTATTTTGTATGTGTGAAAACCCAAATAAAACTTTATTTTAAAAAAATTACAACTATTTTTCACGCTTACGACCGTTTCAGCATCCCCATAGTCATGTGATCAAAACTCTATATTATTAAGTTTAGTGATTATTAAGTTTAGTGTAGTGATTCACTTAACAATTGTGGCAAGAAGGACATAAAATGAGGCAAAACTCACATAACAAATTTCTTACTTAGCAACATAACTTTTGGGCTCAATTGTAGTCAAGGACTACCTGTACTTTAGCCAATTCCCTACCAAGTAGAAGCTGGAGTAGATAACTACTGAGGTATCTGCTAATCTAGGATTTTAAATATTTAAGGTAAAGTTACAGTTAGGCTTAGATGCTCTGGAAGTCTATGGTTACATTTAGAGTATCAAGGGGAGATTTGTAATTAATAGTACCCTTATAGTTGAAAATAACCAACTATATTGAAAAGAAAAAACTAGGACTTATTGTCTATCATTTTAAAGAGCAGGACATAAAATGATGGATTTAAGTAATAAGAACACAGATTCTGACTGGATTTTGATACAAATTTTCTAGCAGTTTTAACAATTATGTGCCTTGTGTCCTTTAATTTGGATTCCTGTATAAAGCAGAATGTTGCCTGGGTCCTGAATGCTGTGATTCTCTTCTGTTGGAAGAAATATCCATCTAGGTTCAGTTCCAAGTGGGGAGAGACACTGGAAACATGGAGGCAGATTGTAAAGATGGTTTATTGATGAACAGGACCACATGGGCTTAAAATCCTGGTGCAGCTAAACACATGGAGTGGAGAGTGAGTGTTATTTATACCCTCTCTTGGGCTTTGAACTTGAGCTTCCTGTTCCTGTGGCAAGGGCATATATTCTATTGGCTGATGTAATGAAGGGGCTTGGTTGTGCCATGTGGTGAGCTCTGCTAATAGATAATCCTATTATGTCCAGGAGGGTCATGTCTTAATCCTGTCACCCTGGAGCTGAGGTATTTGGTTTGGAGATAGGCTGGCCCAGTCCTCAAAAATATCTGCTGGGGGCAGGGAGCTACAGGGACCTGATTCCATCTCCCTTAAGATTTCTATTTCTCTTTTAGGGGAAATATTCTGCCTTTTTAATATTTCCTAAAATATTTCATTCTTCTAAGAGGGGTGGGTGCTAACTTTTTTCACTTCTTCTCCACAGGGAGCATATCTTTCCTAAATTTCATTCTTTACTTGCACCTTATATTTGAATTCTATTTCTTTTTTAGATCCTAATATATTTTTTTAGCATCTCATTGATTAGCAATGACCAATTAGAATTATTTTACTCTTTCTTTTTTTCTCTCTGTTTCTTTGGGCTTTTACATAAAAGTTCCACTGGCACCTATATTCTTTGTCATTTCCCAAATCCTCATCTGAGTTTTTATATAACATTTCACTAGATTTTTTTTTACAATGATATATTTAAAGTGTTTAGTTTTATATGTAAAGATAGTAGTGGCTAATCTTGACATCACAAATAAATCCAGCCTTGATCTTAAAATATAGCTACTCTTACTCCTCTCATCAATGACTTGGGCATTGTTTGAATTATAAAATATCAGAGCTTGTCAATCAAACAGAGGGAATCTTTCATTTATATTACTTTGTAGTAAGAGCCTGGAAGATGATGATCATTCATTGGCTAAAAATGAATTTCTTCCCAGAGGGACTGACCCGTCTAGTACTGACTGATAACTAATGGCAACTTCAAATCTCAACAAATAAATGCTCTGTCTTACATATTGGCAAAAAAAATCAGAAAATAAAATACAAGCTGAATAGTCAAGATCTTGTTGATGACCCAAGCTCTGTAAAGGACCTTGGAATACTCACCTCTAATGATCTAAGTGCTAGAGCACACTGCAACTACATAGCCAAAAAGGCATTAAGAGTTGTTAACCTAATCCTACGTAGCTTTTTCTCTGGTAATATCACACTACTAACCAGAGCATACAAAACATTTGCTAGACCAATACTCGAATACAGTTCATCAGTCTGGAACCCACACTACGTATCTGATATTAGCACAATTGAGAAAGTCCAGAAATATTTCACAAGAAGAGTTCTCCACTCCTCTACTCGCTGTAGAATACCTTATGCCACCAGACTTGAAATTCTAGAACTAGAAAACCTTGAATTACGCCGTCTTCGGTCTGACTTAAGCATGGTATACAAAATCATACATTGCAATGTCCTACCTGTCAATGAATACTTCAGCTTCAACCATAACAACACAAGAGCACACAATAGATACAAACTCAAAGTAAACCGCACCAAACTTGATTGCAGGAAATACGACTTCAGCAATAGAGTGGTCAATGTCTGGAATACTCTACCCGACTCTGTAGTTTCTTCCCCAAACCCCAAAAACTTTAACCTTAGACTGTCTACTATTGACCTCACCCCTTTCCTAAGAGGTCTGTAGGGGGCGTGCATAAGCGCACCAACGTGCCTACCGTCCCTGTCCTATTGTTTCTCTTATTCTTTTATTTTTCTTATATGTAACCATTTCATGTATTCACAACTATGTATACATTTATACTTATTATCTTGTAAACAATTGGCAAATCAAATAAATAAATAAATAAATAAACTACCCTTTCCCCTGGAAACAGGCAATAGACCACAAGCTGGGCTCTTATGGGCTTTCACCAGTATTCTTAATGCCCCTAGGCTTTGACCAAGCAAAGCAAATAGTAATCAATAGAATGAAGGACATGGAGTTCCAAGAACTAAACAGGTTGACTCGCCACAGCAGGTACAGAATTAAACGGAGTGTGGGAGTCAGCAAGATATCTAAATGATCTGATCTTCCCAAAACAAAGAATAGCATTCTTCAGAGCCAGATTTAATATTCTCCCATCAGCATTCCTTCAGGGAAGGTATAAGAAAACATCAATAGCAGAATGGGTTTGTATATGTGGTAAAGGAGAAGTTGAAGATAGCTCACATGTTTTATTGTACTGTGAGTTATACAGAGTATATATGTCATTGTATATTCTCCCCTTACTGGAGAGATTGCCAGGGAGGGCAGACAATTTTTATGTAGACTTTCTCCTCCAGGATTCAAACCCAGTTATTACGCGTGCAGTGGCAAAATTCTGTGTTCCTGCAATGTGTACTAGAAAAAAATTGGTTACAAAAGTATAGCTGTCAATTTGTGGCAATTTTTGGAGATAGAACAAATTTTGGAAAATGATATTTACATACATACTTATTGACTCTCCACTCATATAAACCAGGGAGTGCCCCTAAGTGTTTGAGAACATGTATTTTCTTAACAGATGTGTTTATTCACTATTAACGTATTACAATGTGTCAGTATTTTTATGTATATTGTAAATAGTGATGTCTATTGCTGGTCTAAGACTGTAATAAAATTATATTTATTCATATTACTTTTCTGATCTTTGAAAATATTATACTGCAAATAACCTGTCAAAATTAATATGAGATTTGTTTTCATGTGTGGAAAGGGAATTTCACGAAGGCAGTAATGTCACAAAAAAACAGGAAAAGCCCAAGGGGAACATCAGGCCAGCCAGAAAACAAACTTACATAGGAAAAGGAATCAAATAAAAAGTATTAAAGAATCCCTACAGACAAAAGCCTGAGTAATTAAGAAAACTAGACAAATAGAAAAAAGGAAACAAATGATAATTCAGAAAATTACAGAAAATTCAGAAAATTATCCTGTGCCTTACAAGCACAGGACATACCAAATAAGCAAAACAGACAAAAGACACAAAATATAAATTACAAAAGGGACAAAAAGTTCTCCGCCTTCCTGAAAAATAAAAAGATCCAGCTTTCAAGCAGTTGTCCGTATCCTTGCGCCGGAGCTCTGCCAGCAGGAAAATCGAATCCTCGAAAGAAAGGCATTTTGGCACCTTTCAACACATGCATGTCTGTACATGTTAACCAACTATTCTTTTTTTTTAAAAAAAAATCTTGTTAGGGGACCTAATTTAAGTTATTTATTAACGATACACTTACGTAATTTACCGTATCTAGAACATAGTGAAAGCAACTACAAGTTATTGAGAAACTGAAGGTCGTTGGTAATGTACATTCTCACACATAACAATTAAATTTGATATACAGTAACACCAGCATATTAGCATGTCTGTGCCTCCTACTTAATGCTGTTTATGTCAAGCACACACTGAGATACCATCTCCATACACTCTTTCAAACTATGCTTCATTTGCAAATGAGAGTCAGAGGAAGATACAGTTCAGCGATAAAAGGGCTAAAGGACTTTCCTCATCCTGCTTCAGCAGCAAGACAAAAACTCTTATAATGCAGCTTGTGTTGCAAACAGAATTCTACAAAGGGATAACATTGAAATAATTAAAAGCGCTGTTTGAGATTTGTTTGTTTGTTTATATTGTGGTTTCATTTTTGGAAATTCGGTTCTAAAGCAGTAGCTTTTTCCTCCTCTCCCCTTCTCAAATTCCACGAACTCAGCGATACTCTCTGTTCTGTCAGTAAACACTGCAATCAGAGTTACCTAATTCGCTGATCTGGCGAGAAAAAACAGATTTTTCAAGGAGTATTGCTATCTCTGTGGGCGATGCCAGTGGGAGGAGCCGGGCCTCCGGCCTCTCCTGTAAGCTGATATTTAATTGAGTTGCTTTCTGTGGTAAACAGTTATTGCTCGTTCCTTGTTTCGAGAAAGGTTTTTAACTGCAATGGCTGAGGATCCGTGGGAAAAATTGTTGTCTTTCCAATCTTTTCAAAGCAAACTCCCCTCGGGTGCTGCTTATGGTTACGGTAGAGAGGATCTGCAAAGGTTGTGCCAGAGGGAGTTTCCCAGACTAGGAGGTAACGTGACATGTGGTGGAGGTGGCAGCAAGACGGTTGGTGGGAGAAAAAAAAATGGGACAGGGAAGAGGAAACAAGAGTACTGACTCTGCGGTTGTTCCTGTGTGAGCGCTTACTCTACTTTGTGACCACAAAGGTTTTGAAGAAGGAAATATTATATTTCCACATTTATTTTAAAGAAAAAACCAAGTGAATGAGAAAAGGTGGTCAAATAGTAAATCTCAATATGTCTGTCTTACATTTGAGTCTGAAAAGAAAGCGGCTGTTCAGTCAAAATAATTTTCACCTCTTGAGCTTTCTTACACCGGGATAGTAAGGTTAGCAGCTGATTTGCCTCCTAGCAAATGAACTGAAAGAGTACATTTACATCACTGAATCTAACCTCTGCCAGGACAATCTAAAAGTGTGCATCCTTGATAAATGGCTGACCACCTTTTCCTTAAACATTGAGTAGTTAATCTTTGTTTTGTTATCTTCATTAAAGAATTAGTTTATTATTTTTTCCTCTTTTTTTATTAGGAACTATGTAATTTGCTAATAGCTTGACTAGAAGAAAGCCTTGTTATAAAGAAGAGGAATATCATCTGCCATTTCTGGACCTCATACAGCCTGTAGCCCCCATTTTTATGATCTCTTAAGTCTGTTGAAAAAAGTTTAATTTCCAAATAATAAAATTCTCTACCCAAGACTTAAATAGCTATGCTGCATATGCAGGGGTAGGCAGTGTTTTATATTTCAGTTTCCCAATTCTTTGGACAGGTATGTTTGCAAGCAAAGGGAGTTCCTCTGTTATACACATTGCAGTGTCTGAGTAAAGAGATTACAGATTTGATCCAATAAAACTGTTTTCCCCTCATTTATGAGTTTTATGTGGTGCTACCTAGAAGTAACTTTCCAAAAGATTATCAACAGTTATCTCTTTTCCTTTTGTTATAGCACAAAACTATTAAATAAGGGGAAATGTCACAATACAACATTTTGCAAGTTCTGACTAAGAAACTACCTGCCTGAAGCACAGTAGGAGGTACCCAAGATAAACTTTGTGATTTGTTAGGAATGCCCCTCCTTTTTCTATCATGTTACAGTGGATGCTTTTCTGATTGCAAATTATTTAGCATTCTGCAAGACATATATTGCCTTTTCCCATATATTTTGCTGTTTCTTATTTTTATACCTTATATGTAATTATGCTGCCCAAACCAAATACAGTTTTAAATTTCACGAAGGAACTCATCTATCATGCACAAATGCAGTGAGTTCTTAAATTGGGTATAGTGACATATAGAAGCTGGTTTCTCTTCTTCTGTGCCAATGTAGTGTATTCAATAAAGTTTTACTTTTAGGAAACACATCTCTTTTGGGATTCTCTAGCTGGACAGCTGACAGAACCTTGTCCTTGTATTGTGGATTGCTTTTGGCCCTTTGCTTTGCCTTTAGAACTGCCATTTGTCTTGTGTCTGGACTCTGCCTGTGGACTCTTAGCCAGGTGGACTGGACTTAGAACCATAGACCTTGCCCCATGAGCGTGGTTCTATTCTGTGTCCTTTATTTGTAGTATAGGGGCTGTTGTTAGGAGGACTGAGGATGGCTGCCTTCAGGGTAGCGTGGGAGTGGAGTTTTACTGGTCATTGGAGGGCCGTTTCTTTGAACATTAATTGAAAGCAATAAAGGACTCTTTAGAAGTCTACCCTTAACTTGGCTTGACCACCTGGGTCATAACAGGCTCACTATAGCTTTAAACAGAATTATAGTTTACTTTTCAAATGTCCAGATCATACATTCTTCTCAATTAATGAAATTAATTGAATGCAGTCCCCAAATTATTACACTCTGAACACATCATTGCCCTGATGTGATCACTGGGGGAGGGGAAGAAAGGATATACCTGGTATTGAAATCTGCCAGAAATATCTAATAAGATAAAACTAAAATATTAAAAAAATAATTGCATGACAAGTCAGAATTAGTGGCTTATGTTTTTATTATATATTATACTATTATATTAAATTAAAAAGGCTAATGGATTCCCTTTGGAATTGCATCATTTGTTGCAAATATCTTTTTGGACATTTTCATACACATAATGTTATTTCATCTAGTTCTACCTGTGAGGGGTGGGGCGAAGGTTGAGATTCCCCTCCTCTCTCCCTCTCTCTTTCTCTCTGTGAGAGAATGACTTTCTTTAATGCCTTGATTTTATTTTTGCTGACTACAATTATGAAGAATATACTTGGTTGGAGAGGTTTTGGGGGCACAATTGACAGTTCATTTTCTGAGAGGGGTCCTTCACATTTATTAAGCCTCTCCCTTTGGGGGCTTTGTTATGACATATTCTTCAGAATGAAAGGAGACTGATCCTGAAGCTGAAAACAAATTTCTGATTCCTGGAATGTGCTTGGAAGGACGTGCTTGGAAGAAATCTATTATTAGCCAATTTCCCCCTTTCAGAAGCACCATGAATTTCCACCCACTGCAACTGTCTTGACATGAATCTGCAGCATTCAGCCAGGGGGCTTTCTGCAACAGCGTAAAATGTCTGTAAGACAGCAGGAGCTTTGGTATTCTAGCTCCCTGCATGCATGCAAAGAGCAGTGGGTCATATTCTGCTTCTTGCCAGGGGAAACATCACGTTTGCCCCACCAACCTTTCCAGTTTCCATTTAAGCTGAGCTGGCAGGACTGCGTCCAATGGAAAGGCAGAGCTGGGATGCGTAGCTACTTGTCCCATACTGTGATATCCCTTGATAAATTCACCTTGAACAAGAGTGTGTGGGAGGAATATTGACAGACCACTGATGGGAGAGGAATACCAGTGGAGGTCCTGCTCAGGATAAATGCCCATAATGGGTTGACTACAGTGCCCCCCCCCAGTGAAGTGGGTGCAGCCATGTGCTTTCAGTTAATCATCCTAGACCTGTCAAGCCTCTCTTCTCTGTATTAGGCCTTCAAGTGCTGAAAGTCTGCTATGTTATCACCCCTAGTCTTTATTAGCCATACTTAGCCATTCCCTCACTCATTTAGCTCCAAACTCCTTATTATCTATTATTTACTCTACCATATTACCTACTTCGAAACCATTCCCTTATTGATGCCACCTTAGGATTGCATTAACTTTTTTGGCAGCTGCAGCACATTGGTAGATAATACTTGCTACTCCTGGATCCTTCTCACAGTTGTTACTGGTTATTGGTACCACTTATTCTATATCTGTGGATTTGGTGTTTCTCATCATTTAATTGCATTTTGTTGCACTTTGAGTGTTAACTATTCCCTCTAGCTTGGTGTGATCTGCAACTTTGATAGGTACCCTTCTATCTCCTTATCTAAGTCATGGGTGTCAAACTCTCAGTGTCACATTGCCTTCATGTGATGTATTGTGACATTTTCCCCTTCGTGGAGCTGGGGTGGCTATGGTCTGAGCGTGACGTATCTTGCCTGTTTGACACCCCTGATCTAAATCTTTGTGGCCATGATCTATTAATATGTCTCATAATTAGTCTAAATGACTAGTTGGATATTAAAACTTATGATTGTACAACTTGCAGAAGCAATTTACAAGACAGGCACCATTGCTCTATATTTCTCAGATTATGGATGATACTCAATTTAGATTTTTAGTCTTCAAAGTAATCTTTTTAGAATGGATAATAAATTGCACATTTTCACTACAGTACAGATAATAAATTGCATATTTTCACTACAGTGCAATGATTCTTAAATTAGTTTGTCTTTATTTTATTGCAGTTGTGTTATTCTCTATTGAATAATAAAATATGTTCAAAAGTATACATTTTAATTCCCATTTCTTTCCTGTAAAGCAATTTGGGGGGAAATTGCTTAGATTGAAATTGACTGAGGGAAAAAATTGGTAGTATAATGTATTTTCATCTTTTCTGTTGTAGAAGTCACTTATCTTGATCATGCAGGTGCTACTCTCTATCCAGAAAGTTTACTAAAAGCCTTCACTGATGACCTCAGTACAAATGTTTATGGTAAAGTGAAATTAAACAATATAATAAAAAAAATCCAAGGCATTTCAAGGTTTTATTCTAAGTTAGGTTTTGTTTATTTATATATAAATAAAATAATTAAGGCTTTGCTTCTATTAGGTGGTTTTCCAGATTGTTTTTTAAAATATGCTTATTTATTTAATTAAATTAAATAGAAAAATAAAAACGAAGGAAAAACGAAAATGACAAAAAACAAGATGTTAAGTGGTTCTCTATTCTCTATGTCCTCCATCTCTCTCTCTCTCTCTCTCTCTCTCTCTCTCTCTCTCTCTCCATCTCTTTCTCTTTCCTGATATCTTTGTATGTGTCCATGCATTACAGTAATAGATTTGTATGAATAATGTATATAATAGGATCTCCAGTTATGGAGATGAAATGGGAAAACAAGCTCAATAGCTATACCCTTCCTACCATAATAATTTGTCAGAGAATATTTACAGGAGAAATAATGATATTCTGAATAGTAATCTTGTAGAATCTGATACAATTAAGAGTTTCTGATTTTGAAAAGCACTACAATCGTATTTCACATTGGAAGGAAGGGGACAGCTTCTGCTTTATCCTTAAATCATTTTCTAATATTTGGCAAGAATTAGAATTCAGTTTTTTAGAAGGTCATAATAATAGTGGTATGATGACAGTTTCATAGGATAATATAATTTACTATCTCATAATTTTATTATATGGTTGTGCTGGATTTTAATATGAAAAAACATGAGGTTCCATTTTCCCCTCGGTAATCTCTGGCTTTGGGCTGGACAAGCACATCATATAGGTTTGTTCTGTGGAAGAACCAGAGGAGCAAGTGTTCCCTCTTGGGGAGAAAAGCAAGATAAATATAAAAATGAATTAAGTGTAAAAATACTGGAATTAAAATTTAGACTAATTTCACAAAGAATGAAGTGTGTTTTCATGAATCACTGTTTTTTTTTAATCTAGGAAATCCTCATAGCCAGAATATCAGCAGCAAACTCACATACGATACTATTGAACATGTTAGATTCAGGTAATGTAATTCTTATTTTATGTGCTAGATGTTTTGTTTCATGTTTGCTTTTGGGTGCTTTTTTGCACCCTATATTTTGTATATGCTAGAAACATTATCCAAAGTATTATTATATGGAAGTAAGGATAAACATTATATATTAGTGATATTTTCTTTTAGTCCCCCTGATCTGTTATTGACTAAATAACATTTTAATGGTAGGAAAGCTCTTCTAACTCAGTTTTGTCTCCAGAAGACAAGGTTAGAGCTGAATCTAAAGCTTCCAATCTATAGTTATTGCTCAAAAGCCTATGATGCTTGCTTGGTGCCCCCCTGCGATTGCTTCTGTACACTCCCACCACCACTGCCAGTTGCGGCATATCCCCCACCCCACGATCATTTCTTCATGCCATCGCTGCCAGTTGCCTGGCACACGATGGCCGCACAATGGCATGCTGCCCCCCCAGTCTGTTGCCGATTACTCACTGCTGCCTGTTCCGATTGGCTGGTAGCTTCTTGTCTTGTGTAGCCAAAGGCTGAGGTCAAATGGTGTCTGAGCAAATGGGCAGGGATGAAAGCCAAGGGGTAAATGGCCATGGAGAATTGCTGGGGGAGGTGCAACAGTGGAGGAAAGTTAGCTGTGAATCAACTGAGGCAGGTGGCTAAGAGTGAAAGGGAGCATGGCCAATGGTGGGCGCCCAAACATAAACCCTGTCCAGCAGGATGCTATCCACAGGGCAAGCTCACAGTTGTTGGGAGTCAGGGAGCATATGCATGTTGACTTACAACTGTAATTGAACTTTGGCTGTAAATTATAGATATCTGCCCTTGTGGCTGTCTGCAATCCTAGCTCTCTCCATTGTGATCGATAAGCAAACAAAGCAAAACAGCTGCCTGCCAAAGACAGGTAGGGAGCTCCCCTCTGTACACAGAAGAGCTGGCCTGGAGAAAAGAAACATAGATTTTATGATGCAAGTTTTTTTTTTAATCTCCAGCCCAGTGCAGGAGTTCCTCTCTGTGCTCTGCACTGCAGACTCCAGTACTGCACTGAAGAAACTCCAGTGCCACTTATTTCCAAACACCATGACCACCCTGCCAGTACCATTGCGGAAAGCCTAGTTGCCACTGATCTTTGCTGCTCTGCACAGTTTTATAAGCTGTGTGTGCTGTGTGGCATTTCTGCCAATTCAAGGGCTGAAGAAAACATTATGGCAGTGAGGAAGAGCTCTAGCCTTCAGTATTACTTAATATCAAGTCAGGGGAATTTATGATCTCAGAAACACAAATTGAGAATTTCCTGGAAAAGCACAATTGACTTAATTTGTCTCCCATACTGCGGTAATTGTCTCCCATTATTTTTACTTTTGGCCTATCAATAACTGAACAGAACAGGGCATATTCTTACATTGCAATAATTAACAAATTTGGTAGCTATATATCTTGCCCAGTTTGATTTGATTTTAGATGCCTACTTAAGTTAAACAGAAATAATATAAAATGGAAACATAACTATTCAATTTGTTTGTGATTCTGTGTTTATTTTACAGGATTCTACAGCACTTCAATACAACCATTGAAGACTATACTGTCATTTTTACTTCAGGAAGCACTGCTTCATTCAAACTCATTGCAGAAGCTTTTCCTTGGATACCTGAAAACTTGGGGAAACCCGGCAGTCGATTTTGCTACCTTACTGATAACCATACATCTGTGGTGGGCATGAGAGTGATCACTACTGCAAAAAATGTCATATTTGTTCCAGTAAAACCAAAGGATATGTTATCAGGAGGAAATACTGTGAAAGAAAAAGACAATGATTGCAGTACACCACATCTCTTCTGTTATCCTGCTCAGAGTAATTTTTCAGGAGTCAAATATCCACTTGCGTGGATAAAAGAGATACAATGCGGAAAACTCAGTCCCATTGAGGTCAAAGGGAAGTGGTTTGTGCTTTTGGACGCAGCATCTTACACCAGCACTTCTCCCTTAGATTTAAGCATTCATCAGGCAGACTTTATTCCTTTATCATTCTATAAGATATTTGGATTCCCCACTGGCATAGGTGCATTGCTAGTAAAAAATGAAATTGCTTCTTGCTTGAGGAAAACCTTCTTTGGAGGAGGAACTGCTGCTGCCTATTTGGCAGAAGAGGATTTTTATTCACCAAGACAATCAGTGGCTGAAAGGTAATGTTAAAAAATAAAGGTAGTCCTTGATTTACAACAATTCATTTAGTACCTATCTGAAGTTACAAGGACACAGAAAAAAGTAAGTTATGATGATTTTTCACACAACTGTTGCAGCATCCCCATGGTCACATGATCAAAATTCAGATGTTTGGCAATGGACTCATATTTATGACTGTTGCAGTGTCCCGAGGTCACATTCAACTTTCTGACAAGCAGTCAATGGGGAAACTAGATTCATTTAACAATTGTGTTACTAACTTAACAACTGCAGTGATTCATTTAACAACTATGGCAAGAAAGGCCATTAAATGAGGCAAAATTCACTTAACCTCTCTTAGCAACAGAACTTTTTGGGCTCAATTGTGGATACAAGGACTACTTTGTTTCATTTAAATGTTTTTATATTACTTGACTTCCTAGTGACTGGCTCAATTTAGATACCAAATCTGATCCAAGCCATAATCCAAAGAACAAAGACAATACTTCTCATCTATTTATTTATTGAATATTAGACATACAGAATGCATGATTGGAAATGATCTTAATGATAAATCTATTTGGCAAGTCTTGCAGAGATTATATGAACTCCACTTTTTAAAAAATGGATTGATAAATCACAAATATATATTTATATGTGTAATAATGCTTCAATGTGTTTTTCATTAATTCTTTTTTATGAATTTGACAAATTAGCTTGCCTTTTCAATGTATAAGGTTGTCCAATTTAAAAGAACTCTAGACTGCTTATAATAACTTGAAAACCAGATAAAACATGAAACAATTCATATTTTAATTAGCAACTAAGTACAATTACTCTACTTCTTAAAAATATCTCAGAGTTGGACTCCCTCAGATTATTGGTCCTAACATCTGCCAGTATTTTTGAAAGACCAGCAGAATCAGAGCTGTTTGGATTTTGAGGGTTAAACTATTCCATAGGATAGAGTTCACAGAAAAGGTAAACTTCTTGAGTCCCATCAGAACACATTGTTTGATAAAAAAAAGAACTGCAACATGCATAAAGTCTCTGTGAGATTTAGTGAACTTCATTTACTATTTGTCTATTTTTAGATTATATTTCCTAATAAATACAAGAAATGGAAACAAATTGTAGTTTAATATTTTACTTGTTTGTACTTTATGCAGGTTTGAGGATGGGACAGTTTCATTTCTTGATATTATTGCAGTAAAGCACGGATTTGATGTTTTGGAAAAAATAACAGGTAGGATTGTGCTTCTCAGTAGAAATGTAGTCCACAGCATGCAGCCTAATCGCTGGCCAATCAACACCTTGAAGACACCAGTTTTTAGATCATCTACTAATGAGACATTGGAAGAAACAGCTGTGCCTTTCATTCCCTAAGGGTTAACACCTCTGCTTCTTTCTGCTTCTTATGGTACCTCTGAGTATAGTTTTCAACTAGCTCATATAACATCATTTGAAACAAAAGCATTGGTGAAATTTGATAAAGTTCTCACAAAAAAGTTGAAGCTCTGTCTTTGATTTTTAAATCTTTGTTAAGGTAAATAATCCCTAGTTGATTTAGGCTTCTTCATAGAATTTAACTTCCAGACCCCTTATCTTGGTTGCTCTCTTCTGCATTCTTTCTAGGTCCTCAACATCTTTTTAAATTGTGCTGACCAGAATTGGATGCAGTGTTGCAAATGTGGCCTTACCAGTTCAATACAAAGCGATATTATCACTTCTCTTGATCTTGACACTTTCCCTCTATTGATGCAGCCCAGGACTATGATGGCTTTTTGGTAGCCTGAGCTTACTTCTAATTCATACTTAAGTGATGGTTCATCAGAACGCTGATTCCTTTTGTAGGTCCTACTGTTGAGCCAGGCACTGTATAAATTAGTCCTGCAGCTGTGCATCTGGTTTTTCCTGCCTACAAATGTGATTGCAGTGAAAAAAAGGCTATATCTGAATATTTCTGCACTTTTTCCCTTTCCCTGACCCTCCCCACTTGACCAATTTATCTGTCCAATTGGATGCCATTTCGATGTTTTGAGAATGGCTTGGAAATTTGGCACCATTCGATGCAGTTCCATGTTGTGTTCTTAGGCTAGGTGTCCATGAAAGCTGGAATATTCTGGTCCTGGAACCTCTGGTTCTTGTGAAGGGTTTCTCCACCTCCTACCATTTGTCTTTGTGTTTCCATGCTCATCTTTACTACTCTACATTCCTTTGCCCCCTCCTTCCCCCTTACATTTTATAGCAGGATGCCAGCAAAGTATAAAGCTGAAGATGGCAGATCTGATAATACTATACTAATGACAAAATAGTTAACAGATAGAACAATAATAATAAAGAAAAACAAGATTAGAGTTTTAGGCCTGCACATATAATGAGTTTAAAATAATGCATAGAGATAAGTCATTTGTTATTCAGGCCAATTCAGCAAGTTAAACAAAAGAGAAAGAAGATGCAGACAGGGCATCTATTTAGACTTCCACAGAAGTCTCATATTGAAGAAACTAATCTGGAATTAGATTAGAAAATTTAAGGCTAAGTTAGTCAAGTGCAAATCAAAATGTATTGTTATTGCATAAAATCCATATGCTATTAAAACTCTCATGTCTGTATGTTTCAGTTGGGCAAAACAATGCATTACAAGGCAACCATTTTTGAACCAAAGCGCTTCAAATAGGATAATTTACAGAATGTGTCCAAAATCTGGTGCCCAGAACTCATGGGATTCAAATTTGGCAAATGAATGGTTCCTTTAGTGCTATCGTGCTCATGCTGCTGTGACACTGTGGTTAGCCATGATCATGTGATTGTAAATTCCAAATGTCCCTGACAGTTTTCTGCTTTTTCCTTGCCTATAAGATAAGGAAATGTTTCATTATGAAAGTATCTCTGAAACATGTCCCAATGGGTCATGCATTGCTACTAACATTGTAATAATACTGTTGTTCAATAATATTCTTGTTTAAGCCATCTCTTTACTCTGCAGTTAGGGGAGGAAAAACAAACAATCTCTTCTGTCTCAGAGTTAAATAAGTTAAATATTTATATCTCCATTTCCATGTAAACAACTCTCCCATCCTTTTTTCAAATAATGAAAATTCAAATTAAATTAGATTGCAAAAAAGAACCTTATAAATTAATCCATTAAATTTACTAAAATTAGCTATCATCATCCAATTCATAAAAAAAATTAAACATCACCAGAGATAGCAAATCATTATTTTAACTATAATCAAATAAACCAACTTTGTTTTACTTCTTTCTTTCATCAATATTTAGACCCATGAATAAAATTCTAACACCTTTCTCATAATCTCTGTCTTCTCTTAAATTCCTGTTATCTTACAGTCATTTTGTAGCTTCAGTGTAATACCTCCAGTAAATCTCTTACAGTCCAATATAAAAATATTGCACATTATTTTTTAAATGTATTACTTGTACATCTTTTAAATTTTTAAATCATTTAGTTTCATTTGTGAATGTAGTACTTTCTCTTAAGCTGTAAATCCACCTTAAAATCCTTTTTCATTTTATTCAGTGAAGCTTGTTCCTCTGCAGTAAAAATTTTGAATTCATTATATTGTTAAGTAACTTGAGAATTACTTGAGGCCCAATGTCAAACATTTTTAAGGTAGCCATCAGGTGCTTCTAGTTCCAAACTTCAATTACTTGTTATCAGCTTGTAAGATAAGCAAATATTATTTTTTGCAGAAGAGAGGATCCTTTTAATGAATTTCAAAGTCATTTTTAATTCAGATTCGAGCATTATTCCAAAACCAATGTTGTAACCACCCTATTACTGTGTATCATGAAAAAGAAAACACGATACTATAGAGGTGTAAATTTCTTTCCTCGTAAACTGGTTGAAGAGATGTTTACTCATGTATATATAAATTCTACATATGATAAACATTTTTCTCCCTTTACTAAGTTAGGAAATTTCCAAAATTTTATTTTTTATTTTTTGCACCAAAAGCTTCCCTGTTTTTCTATTATTTTCCATAGTTTAACACTGCATAAAGTGAATCACTTTATTAAATTTCTCCAATTCCCATGTCATTCTTTGAATCTGCCTCATTATCCTTTTGAATTCATATATTATTTTACAACCTCCATATCTTTCTCCCATTAACTTAAATGTATTACTCTCTCAATTTTCTGCTTTTCTTTAATTTAAAGACAGATGCTACTCTCTGAATTCCTTGCCGTTTTTGTCATTCAACCATATACTATGTTTTCTTATATTATTACTGCTTCTAATTCAGTTGCTTTGTATATTCATTTAAATATTTTGTGATACGTTCCCCCACCAATGAATTTAACTACTTCTTACATAATTACCTTTATACTATTAATTTTAAAATAGTTAATACACTGCTTTTTAATTATAGATTCATTTTTAATTTCTGGAACACAAAACTCGTTCATATTTATGATGGTTATAGTGTCCTCAGATCATGTGAACCCCTTTTGCGTCGTTCTGGCAAGCAAAGTCAATGGGGAAGCGGAATTCACTTAACAACTACATTATTAACTACATTATTAATGGTTTACTTAACAACTGTGGCAAGAAAAGTCACAAAATGGAGCAAAACTCACTTAAACAAATATCTCGCTTAGCAACATAAACTTTGGGCTCAATTATGGTTGTAAGTCGAAAACTACCTGTAATTATATGAATCTAAGCACTTAATGTTGTGAAATTGTTGTTTTTTTTTTATAGAAAAACAAGATATTTTAGTGCTGAAAGATCTATAGTAATATGTTTGTTTAATTTAACTGTAATAATTAAACAGTTCATGGTTGGATCTATATATTAACTGATTACTGAATGGAATTATTATTGAGATCATACAAGATATTGCACTGGTTTTGTGTTGGGTGTTGAATCTCTGGAGAGTCTCACATATACTGGAATTTTTGCCCAGTATATATATATATTAATTGAGTGTTACTTTTTTCTGAAAAATGATTCTTTTGTTTTATTTATTACATCATTTGATATATAAAATTATTGTTATATCTAGTGAAATTTATTTGTAACCAAATAAGTTGACCATTCGTGGTAATTGTTGCTTTGTTTTTCTTAGGTGGAATGGAAAACATAAAACAGCATACATTTGCTTTGGCTCACCATACCTATTCAGTTCTTTCTACATTAAAATATGCTAATGGTACACCTCTTGTACGCATTTATAGTGATACTGATTTCAGCAACTCAGATATCCAAGGTCCTATAATTAATTTTAATGTGTTGGAGGAAAATGGAGATATAATTGGGTATTCACAGGTACATTTATTTATTTTTTTGTTGTCGTTATGCATCATTTTGCTGTTATGCATCTTTCTGATTGTTTGATCTTCTTTCTGTATAATTTCAGTTTGTTGTAATTTTCTTATAGTAATTTTTCCCATATTTTTCTCAGGAATATACTTTCTACATTTTCCTCTTCAGTTGATATATGACAAATTGCTTGCCTCTATGTGTCACATTTTCCCAAGAATTTGTGGTAATTTAGTAAAATGCTACAGTAGTTAAATCAGCATAGGGATGCATACAGCAGAAGACATGTTTATATTTTTTGAAGCTGAAAGTAGTAATCATGCATAATCACTTTGTAGTACACATTTTTTTTCATTTATTCGAAACAGAGGAGCTTATAATTCTGATGCTGTCTTTAGTGATGCTGTCTATCTCTCATTTTTCTAACTTACCAAGAAGTAGATTGTAGTCTGCTTTGTCAAATGCTTTCTGAAATCTAAGTATATTATGTCTACATTTCACTGGTCAACTAATTTAGTCACTTTGTCAAAGAATAAAATAAGATTTGTTTGGCATGATCTATTTTTGATAAACCAGTGTTAGCTTCTGGTTATAACTTTGCTTCTTCTAGATATTTGGAGATCTGTTGCTTAATCATCTTTCTGGGAACTTCCCAGATATTAATATCAGACTGATTTGTCTAGTTCAGTGGCCCCCAACCTTTTGGGCACCAGCGACCAGTTCTGTGGAGAGAGGTTTTTCTGAGAGAGGGTTGCTGGAGGCCATTGCAACTAGACACCTATTGCAATGTCATTCTTTTTCTCTTTATATTAACCGATATGCATTCAAGGAGCTTTCATCCTTAGTTTTACACATTTTTGTAGAGGTGTAGTGATTTTGTATATGTATAATTCCACCTCCTCTCTTGTTAGGTCTGTTTCTTTTGAACAGTTTATATTCTTCCAGCAAACACGTTCTCGTCATGAGTTTCATCCCACCAAGGTTGTGGCTGGATAGGCAGATTGGGAAAAGACAGGGTTTATCATCAGCATCCTGATTGGTTCAGCAGGTCAATCCCGCTGCTCGCAGAGCAGAGCCCTCTCCTGGATGATTATGCAGGGTTTTGTACTGATTTGAAGGACACATCTGTAGACCCTATGAAGATCCAGACAGCAAATTGGTGTTTGTGCAAGCTGAAGCAGGGGCAATGGCTGGTTATGGATACATCAGCTAGGACTACATCCTGATAAGCCAGGACCTGTAGTGGACCAGTTTCTGGAGGATCTGCCCTCAGAGCTTCTGGATGAGTTGATATGGATGGACTCTCCCAGTACCTTACAGGTCCTCATGAACCTCTGTCTTCGTATTGATGGGCAGCTCCAGCAATGGAGGGCATGGAGACAGGGAGCAGAATCACCCATGCACGCAAAGGCCTAAGAGAAGCCTCAACCCCTGAGGAACCCATTCAAGTGGGAGGCACCAGACCACAGCTCACCACTGCCAAAAAGGACCAAAAAGGACTGTTTATGGGATTTTGTTGACAAGAACTTGCGGTAGGGATTCATTCACTGGTCAAAGTCTCATTTTTATTTATTTATTTATTTTATTTGTTAATTGCTTACAAGTTAATAGGTATAAGTAAAAACATAGTTATGAATACATGGATACTGTTAGTGTTTGGGGATTAACCCCTAGCAGAGTATTGCAGCAGTAGTCAAACCAGGCAGCCAAAACGAGAGTGGAAGGGCCCCAGAGTATACACACACTGAACACAAACACTTCTTTGTAGTTTAAATAGTTTTTAATCCATTTAGAGTTTAAAGCATTGTCATTCAGTCCATTAAGTCATTCACAGTATTTCCATCCAGTAAGACTCACTAGTATAGTCCAAGTTAAGAGTCCTTGCAATATCTTTATCAGCCGATAAAGATATCTTCTCCTCCGGTGCCTCTCTCCAGAGGAACAAACGCTGGATATTCAGCAAGACGCTCAAACAGTAGAACAGTAGAATTACGCAGTAAATCAGCAAACAGTAGCAGACAGGAACATCTCAGTCACAGGCACAGTCACAGTAACACAGAGGCAGTCACAGTAAGTCACAGTTAGTCGCAGTAAGCTTTCCAGCTTCTAATGCTTCCTTATATTGTAACTTCTAACCGCACCCTTAATCGGCTAATTGCCTGCAGCATTGTGCTTAAAGTGATAAGCACTTAAACCATGATATCTAAGTTTTATATATTTATTCACCCAAACCATATTTGGTATCAATGTTATACCTAACAGATACATATAAGAAAAATAAAAAATATATAAAAGAAACAATAGGACAGGGACGGTAGGCACGTTGGTGCGCTTGTGCACGCCCTCTACAGACCTCTTAGGAAAGGGGTGAGGTCAATAGTAAACAGTCTAAGGTTAAAGTTTTTGGGGTTTGGGGAAAAAACTACAGAGTCAGGTAGAGTATTCCAGACATTGACCACTCTGTTGCTGAAGTCATATTTCCTGCAATCAAGTTTGGTGTGATTAACCTGAGTTTGTATCTATTGTTTGCTCTTGTGTTGTTTCTGTCCTCTTCATCGAAAAGAAGTTGGAGCTAAGACTTTGCTGTGACTTACACAAGATCAATGCTATCATTGTAAAGAACTGGTACTCGCTTCTATTCATTCTAGAGCTGATAGAACTGATGGAGCTGATGGAACAGTGATGGCAACATCTTCACAAAGTTGACTTGTGGGGCACATATAATCTAGTGTGAATCCAGAAGGGGGACAAAAGGAAATGGCCTTCTGCACCCAATGCAGTCACTTTGAGTAACACTGTCGTGCCATTCAGGCTTATCAATGCCCCAGCCATATTCATGCATCTCACACATGTCATGTTCCAGGATTTATTGGACAACTTTGTGGTTATACATGAACAACATTCTGGTATATTCATTGTTACCTGAGACATTGGACACATCTGCTAATGGTACTGCAATACTTGCAAGAAAACCATCTCTAAGTGTGAAAAATGCCAGTTTGCACAGACCATGATAGACATTTTGGGGCGTTGGATTTGGCCTGATGGCATCACCATGACCTTACAGTCTTGATTCAGTCACTTCTGAGTGAAAGAAGAACTCCAGTGACTCCTGGAGTTTCCCAATTACTATCAGGCTTTCAGTCCATGGTTTGCCATGATCACCACCCCCTTGACACAGTTGCTACAGAAAGGTTTATGTGGGGTTCAGCCAAACAAAAAGCATTCAAAACCCTGAAGATGCAGATCCCATCCTTCACCATCCTGATCCATTGCGACTGTTCGTAGTTGAGACCTATGCTTTGGACATTGCCGTCAGAGCAGTATTGTTGCAAGCCTCTTTGGACTCCAGGCAACTCTTCCCTTGTGCCAACTACTTGCACAAGCACAATTCCACAGAGCATAATTATACGATCTGGGACAAGGAGTTGCTGGCAGTCAAAGTTGCCTTCAAAGTCTGGTGGCACCATCTAGAATGGTCTCACTACTAGATCAAGGTTCAGATCAAAGTACCTCCGGAATCTTGAACACCTGAAGACAGCCCAGAGACTCAACCAACGCCAGATCTGATGGTCTTTCTTTTTCACCCAGTTTGCCTTTCGAATGATCTACAGTCCTGGAAGCTGGAACTAGAATGTGCTGTTGCGAAAACCTGTGTTGAGGACAAGGTGCTGCTTCAGCTGGTGATTCTGGTGGGAAAGTACACAACCATTCAGTTGCCCATTGACGTTTAGGAACAGATCCAGATGGTGCAGTGTCAGGATCCCTTTGTTGTGGCTCATTATGCAGAATTGGACTCTGTCAGGACCCCATCAGTTCACACTCTAATGATGATTTGCTGCATTTCCAGGAGGGATCTATTCGAGGGGCCTTCTGGAGGCCTTATTCTATGCCAGTGCCATGACAACCTAGCTGCAGGATACTATGGCCTGTCTAATATGTTCCATTTGGTAGGGCAGGTGTTTTGGTGACCTCGCATCCACTATAATGTGGAATTGTATGTCGTGTCCTGCCCAAAGTGTCGCTATCAGGTCTGCCATCTTTGGCTTGGCATCTTGCTAGCATCCTGCCATTAAAGGCTAGGATGTGGGAGGGGGACATGGAGAAACCTGTTGATTGGGAAAGGGGAATGACAGCTTGACAAAGAGCAGGAGACCTCAGAACCAGTTTGTGCCAGCACTCAGGATCATGCACCCTGAGAAAGAACTATCCTAAACATCTAGGCATTCTCAAAACACCTAGGCAAACTCTTATGAGCTAAAAGCTTCATGGGATTAATGAACTTTTACTGCCAATTCATCTCATCATTTGCCCAAATAGCCCTCCCCATTCACTTCACCTGCTAAAGATGAAGGGGGAGGGGAAACTCAAGCCCAGCCAGCCATTGAAGGTGAAGTCTTCCAGAACCATGAATCTAAGGAACTCCAGTGCCAACCCTGAGATGGCCTCTAGCAGCTAAGGTAGGGAGGTTGCTATGCTGCAGAGAGTCTAGTACTATAACAATAATGCCAACTGCTCCTCTGAGCCTAACTTCAAAAACAGGAAATCTGCAAGACACAGTTGACTGTTCTGAATGGAAGTTGGCTTGGGTGGGTTGGATTTGTTGTCCATTTGATATTGACTACTTCTTTTGATGCTTGTGGTTGTGCAGAAGTTCCTCTGCCTGGCTACATGATTGAGACCCTGGGCCTCACTGTTTCTTTGGGCCCAATTGGTCTTGGAACCAGTCTGTTAGCTAATCCAGCCACTTCGCTGCTCTTTGAGATAGCTGCTCACCTTCTTCACCAGGCCACTCAGCAGAATGCTGGCTCATACTTAAGTGGTGGTTGACTTGGATACCTAAATCACTAACTGAGAGATAACCACATATTCTATATCTGGGCATTTATTTTTCTGGTGTAGAAGTTTACTTTTCTCACCATTGAATTTCAGTTTGTTAGCTAGGGCCCAAACTCGTTAGCTAGTGTCCAAGTCTGTCTTTTGAATCTTGAGTCTATTATCTAAAGTAGAGGTATCAAACACAAGGCCCATGGGCCGGATCCAGCCCATGATGTAGTTGGATCCATCCTGCAGGACCATCCTGGAAAATATAAGGGCTGCCCCGCATCGCTTCAGCCCAGTCTACCCAATGTGAAGAGGAAATGAGTTCCCCTTCATCTAAATCAGTGGTTCTCAACCTGTACTGGGGTAGGGTGGGAACGCAATGTCACCATAAAGGGTCCACAGAAGTTTGAAGAAATGTTGATATTTAAAACTTTAAGTCTGAGAGGGTGGTCTATAGCAGTGCTGGCAAACGTTTTTGGCACTTGAGTGCTGAAAAGGGAGCGTGCATGTGCAGGGGAGTGCCAGAAACCAGAAGAGCAGCTTCCTGGCATGCATACGCACATTGGGAAGCTGAACTTCTGGTTTCTGGCACGCATGCGTGCCGGCATCTGGTCTTCCAGTTTTTGGTGTGCATGTGTGCGTGATCTACATCATTTATGAAGAATTTGAAGAGCACTGGACCTAAGACAGAACCTTGAAGAACCTCACTGCATACTTCTCCCCATGTAGATGTAGTTTAGTTTGGGATTTCATGTTGAGGTGCATTTGGTCAGCCAACTATAAATTCATCTGGTGATGTAACTATCCCACATTGTTCTATCTTACCAAGAAGCCTTACTGAAGTTCAAGTATGCTATAACTACAGCATTCCCCGATCCACTAATTTAGCCACTTTATCAAAGAATGTAATAAGGCTTGCCTGGGATTATCTGTTTTTAACAAACCCATGTTAACTTCTAATAATCACCGTGTTCATGTTTAGTGCTCATAAATCCACTGCTTCCAAGATTTTCCCAGATATTGATGTCAAGCTGATTGATCTATTGTTTCCTGTTCACTTTTTCTCCTTTTTGAAGATTGGCACCACATCAGCTCTTCCAGGCCTCTTGCAGTTCCCCAATGCTCCAGGAATTCTGAAGTGTTTCCAAGATTACATCTGTCACCTCCTTCAGAACCCTGGGATGTAAACTGCAATTTGAACTCATCTAGAATGGAGATGTGTTTTATAGCAATTTCTTACTTATTTTGACCTTCATCCCTGTTCTGTCTCCCTTGGTTCTATTTTTGGTAGGTAGGACTACGTATTTTTTTCCTTTTGTGTGAAGACAGATGCAGAGAATAAATAAATCAGTGCAGCTTTTTCCCTGCTACCCCATCACCTTCTTGCCATTTTCTTTCATTAGTGGCCTGTCTATTTCCTTGACTTTCTTCTTGTTCTTTGCATGTTAAAAGAAGGGGTTTTCTTTTGGCATTTGTTGCAAGTCTTAGTTCATTCTGAACCTTAGCCTTCTTGACTCCATCCATGCATATTTAGGCTATTTATTGATATTCTGTTTTAGTTAATATGCTCTTTCTATTTTTTATAATAATAATACAGTTTATATTTCGTCCCTCAGTGTGTCAGAGAGCATCTGGAGTGTTTTGTTTTGTTTTGTTTTTCTGTGTGATATAGTTTTGTTTGGGCCTTAATTATCTCATTTTTCAGAGTTTCCCAAGTATCCTGAAATTTTTATCCCTTTAGAATTTCTATCTAGGGAATCCTCCCTAGGTCCTCTTTTAGCTTGTTGAAGTCAGCTCTCTTAAAGTCTAAAACATTTGTTTGACTTTATTCAGTTACTTACCTGCATTATATTAAATTCCAGTATAACATGATCACTCTTTCCCACAATTCCTGCAACCATCACTCCTTTAATTATTTCATCTTTATTAGTTAGAAATGGAGCTGACCCTCTAGTTTCTGCCTCTACCTTTTGGATGACAAAGTTGTTGGCTAGGCACCTCAGCAACCTGTAGAATTTCCTGCAAGGTTACCTTCTGGTTGATGTTAGGATAAAGTCCCCTTTACTACAGTGGTATGTTTCCTGCACACTTTACTTAGCTGATTAGAAAAATATTCATGTTTTTTCTGCTTGCCTGAGTGACCTGTAGTATACACCTATAGCAATGTCATTTCTTCTTCCTGTAATATTTATCCAAATGCATTCAAGAGGACTTGGTATTATGTATTGGAGAATAAATATTTTTCGTGTTGGCATTATAAGAAATTTGAAGACACATGATCTATGAGTAGTCCAGTTATAGCTTTACTTTGGTTTCAGATCATTACATGTGGTCAATGCAATTTTGGAAATAAATAATAAGACCTTAACATGATGTTGAACTATATTCCTAAAATATGGAATTAATCATCCGTAGAAAAACTCTTGCTCTCTTCAGCCTAGTTAAAGCAAATAAGTTTAGTGTCCTAATTCATGTTGCCTTGTTTTGAAAAGTCTTTCTAAAAATTCAGAAATGAAGCAATATACTTTTATGTAATCTTGCTAAATGATTACGGTAATTTATTAATTTTATTGTATATCAATTTTCTATTTATTATCCTCCTCTCTTTCCCCCTCTCTTCTTTTCTCTCTTGTTATATTAGTTTATTTTAACTACAATAATGTATTTTGTATTTTTTCCATTTATTCATTGTTTACATGCTATCTGTGTGTGTATGTGTATATATGTGTAGTGGTGGCAGAGGTGATGATGATGATGATGATAATGAGAGTATATTTTACTGTTTAAAGACATTTCTCATTTCTGTAATAATTCTATTATAGAATTATAGCATTTTGTTTATATTTCATGAATATTCTAATGATAGAAAAAAAAATTATTTGTTCCTGTGTTAAGAATCCTTTTTTTTTTTCCCCCGGGGATTGGGGGAACCTCTTGAAACAAGGTGGACAAACTAGCTGGGCTCTACAATATCCATATGCGCACAGGCTGTTTCTGTAATACTGGAGCTTGTCAGCAGCACTTGGGGATAAGCCATGATGATATCAAAAAGAACCTACAGGTCTGTATGTATTCAGTATAGCAGTTCTAAATAGAATCGTGTCTCATCTGTTCCATTAATTTTCCCACTGTTTCTAAGCAAGTATTCCCAACAAAGTTCCATGATATAAAACATCATTAATATAAAAAGAAATGTCATTTGCTAGGTCATGTGCAATGCAAAATTCTTTATGCAAAGTTATTTTATTTAATGTAACAAACTATAATTATGGTTTAAGTTAGCTATGAGAAAATCTCTTAAATTTACTTTCCCATTTGCACAACTAAATTTGTATTGTAAACAACATACATACATTTAAATTCTGAACCAGATTAATCTTAAACTTCATGTGTTTAGTTGAAACTTTTGAGAACCACATCATTTTCCTCTCATGTGAATTTCACCACACCTAGTTTTCTTTTTCTTTTACTCTTAGTGATGGGTTTGTTTTATACTCAGCATGTGTTAGCTTGTACTTTTTATGAGTAAGCCATGAAGATCCTATTGATTATATAAGCATAGAAATCTATTAAATAGATGAGTTAATTTGCTTGATTTTGACATTGATGATGGGTCAACCTAGACATTGAGGTACAAAGATTTTTAAAGTTTCACACACACACACACACACACACACACACAGGCACACAGGACATAGAAAGTCTCCATACTCCTGTTAAAATGCCAGGTTTTTGAGATGTAAACAATATATTAAATCACTTCAAAATTCTTTCCATTTTAATATATTATATATGCCATACAAGTTAATTAAAAAACTGAAATCTTTTAGGGAAAAAATAAAAAAAACTAAAATGCCTGTATAAGTGTTCACACCCTCTTATAAGTATGAATGTGGTTGTGTTCAGAATTAACAAATCACATTCAAACTGATGGCAAACAGCAGTCACTACACACCTGCCATCAATGAAAATGATGACCCTGATCAAGCCCATATAAAGTTCCACTGGTCTAGTAGGATTTTTTTCTGACATTTACTTAGTCGCCTTTTACAGCAAGACAATGGTCTGCAAAGAGCTTAGAAAGCATCAAAAGCATCTGACTGTTGGAAGCTATCAGTCAGAAGAAGAGTATAAAAAATCCAAAACGTTAGATATACTATGGATATACTTTGCTTCAGCGAAGTATTAGTTTAATGCATCTTTATGAAGTCATATTATTCTAATTTTTTATTGTTTCTTTTTCCTCTAAAAAGGTTTCAGTTTATCTTTCAGTTGAATTGTACAGATTATATGTTAAAGGTGGAAAGAATTTTGAACTGAATTATCTTTGTCTGATTTTTTTTTTTAACATCTCAAAAACCTGACATTTTAACAGCGGTGTGTAGTAGATTTTCTATATCCACTGTATTTATGGTATATTTAATATTTTTCTTATGCCATTAACATTGTCATAAGAATTGACAATGAGACTTACATTGAGACATCGACTTGTGACGTTTTGCATTCCTTATTTTCATAGATATTGCATCTCCCAACAACATGCCATACAGTGGAAGTGTTTGTGATAATACTTTTCAAATCCTTTTTTTTTTTCCAAACCCATAGAATTATAAGTTGGAAGAAACCATTTAGGCTAGCACTCAGATCAGGGCAGGAAACCAAATAAAAGCAGAGATAGTTGTTTAGTTGCCTTTTTATCCAAGGATAAGAAACCCTAATCTCTCTAGCAAATTGGTTTCTCTTTCAAATGGCTTATGCTTATAATGATTTTTCAAGTATCCAGCTATGCTATATCCTATACTTCTGCAGTTAAGTTTTGCTTTTCAAATTATTTAAGTCCATTTCTTTTTAAGTTATCAAGTTTGTGTAATGTTACTTCTCCTAAGTTATTAACTACCCCACTTAATATTTATGTCGTCTGTACCCTCATTTAAATGATTAATAAAAATATTGAGAAAGATAGGTACCAAGACTGATCCTGATGATAAGCAAGGTTTATGATAAAACACCTTGCTTCAGTTGAAGTAAAATCATCAGTGTACACTTGGCTGTATTATTTTTGATTCAGGTATGTTTCTCATTAATTTGTCCTGACATGGAATTGTAAACGTATTCTACATTATCACTGATATACTGTATTTTTTGCAATATAAGATGCACTCTCCCCCCCAAAAGTGGGTGGAAATATCTGTGCATCTTATACAGTGAATATTGCCAAAGCCCAGCCCACCCGCCAGCTCCCACCCTTCAGCCTCTGCCTCCCAGCAATTTGCCTCCTTGCAGCAAACAGCAAACAGCCTGGTCAGTTTCAGCACAGCCTGATTAGCACAAGCAGCTGATTGTCGGTTGGATTGACCTCCCTGTTTCAGCTGCAGGGATCGGCATCACCTATTGCTGCCTCTGCATGCCTCATTTTTGGCCTCCGCGCACCCCATTTTTGGCCTCCGCGCACCCCATTTTCGACCTCCGCATGCCCCATTTTCTGCCCGTTCTGATCCCCGCTGCCCAGAATGGGCTGAAAATGGGGTGCACGGAGGTGGCAATAGGCCATGGCGATCCCTGTAATCTGAAACAGCTGATCGTCTGGAGGCCAATTCAACCTGCTTGTGCTAATCAGGCTTTGCTGAAGCTGACCAGACTGTTTGCTGTTTGCTGCAAGGAGCCAAATTTCTGGGAAGCAGAGGCAGAGGCAGATTTTTTCCCCCTTGTTTTCCTCCCCAAAAGCTAGGTGCGTCTTATACTTAGGAGCGTCTTATACTCCGAAAAATACTGTATGTTATCACTACATAAACCTATATTGCCATTGTTCTGAAATTATTAACATTTCCTTTTCTGAAATCTTACATATTAAGTTTTTCTAGATTCAACTTCAGTTCTTCTTAAGATAAAGAACACTAGTATTTCATAGTCAATTAATTCCAAAGTTCCTGCTACTTCCAGAAACGAGTGAATGCACAGGAATGCGATTCTATAGAAAATTAGGTAAAGAAAGATGGTTCTGATTCTGGTAGAGAGATTACCAAATCAACTATGTCATTAGAGCATTTAGACTGTTTATAGAGAACGTTTCTGCTGTAACTTTAATAAAATATGTCATATTTTAATAATATTTACAACATATCTTTGTATTTTGCTCCTAAATAGGCTGGTCATGTGTGTGGAGATGACATAGACCTAATTGATGGACATCCCACTGGGTCTGTGAGAATTTCATTTGGCTATATGTCTACATTCGAAGATGTCCAGGCCTTTCTGAAATTCATTATAAGTATTAGATTATCTGCTTTCAACTTAGTAAAATCTCCATGCCAGACAGAGATTGTTCCAAAGATCACATCATTTCCCAGACAGAATAGCAACACTTGTGATGAGAAGAATGTAACTGAACAGCATCTGGAAAGGATAATCAAGAATTTACAGCTAAGTCACCACTACACATCAGTGATAAAACCGGAAGGAAATGTGCATTTGACTAAAAGTTGTGCAGAAATCAACATACCTAAAGTTTTTACTAATTCAGTAGAAGTGCCAAACGGTAGAAAGACAATTACAATCACCAATATTTACCTGTACCCAATCAAATCATGTGCTGCATTTGAGGTAAATGGTTTCAGTAATATTTTATGATCATGTGCAATATGAAAGCTAGAAAGTTTTTTAGAGATGTTTTAACAAATAAATACAAAAATAAGTAAATACATAAAAAAAACTGCATATTACTCTTAAAAATCTTGTAGTGTGGATCCAGGGGTCTGGATCCTATGTAAATAAATTCCAAAATAAGAATTAATTTATAATTTGAGAAATGGGTAATTAATGAAATATATGGAAAATAATTTATTATTTTATGTTAAATTTATTTTTACCTCTACCTCCTTTTACATATCCAATACTTGCCAGTGTATCAGTAAAGGCTAAGTGTGGCTCTTAACCCTGAAATATGTTCTTTTGAGAAAGCTGTTGATGTTAGCTTTAAAAATAGCTTTAAAAAGATCTTGATTTGTAGTGTTCAGATTGTTCCTTCCAATTGGGCTGTTATTTTTGGGCTGCTTTTTTCAAACTATTTTTTAGCCTAGTTAGTACTGCAGTAGTGATCAGTCATACCTGTTGCTGTTGATTTAGACTGAGGTGGGATCGTAGAATTGTAGGATTGGAAAGTAGAGGTCATCTAGTCTAGCACCCTGCCCAGTGCAGCAATCTTCATATCATCTCTGATTAATGGCTGTCCAATCTTTTCTTGAAAACCTCCAGTGATGACTTCCCCATGACTTCAAGAAAAAAACTGGTTAACATTCCTTAATAGCTCTCACTCAAGAATTTCCTCCATAGGTCCAGAGTTTTTATCTCTCTCTGTTAAGTTTCCACCCACTAATTCTTGTCATATGCTAAGATGCTATGAAGAACATTTTGCCCTTATGACATCATATATTTTGCAAGATGCTATCATGTCTTGCTTTAGCCTTCTTTAGACAAGACATAATCAAGTTTCTTTAACCAATCTTCATAGGATTTAATTTCCAAAGCTTTTAACTCCCTTATCGCTCTTCTCTACAATCTTTCTAATTCTTTGCTGGGTTTTTTTATATTGTAGTAGCAAGAACTAAACATAGTATGAACACAAGTGTGGTCTAACCAATGCAGTATGAAACAGTAGTATCACTTCTTGTTTGTCAGTGCGACTAGATAGACCATACCACAAAATCAATTTCATAGTAAGACATTTTATTGAATTAGGCTACAATTACAGAATCTTGCAAGTCTAATTATGCCGTGTCTCCTCTCCTGATATCTCAGTGAATTAGGAGCATTTTCCTGATCTGCTTCTGAATGTTATCTTGATTCCCAGGATTTAAAGAATCTTTCAGCCTTCTTTGCCTAAGTAACAGTTCTTGCCTATCTCAGTCAAGGCCATCTGTTGTTCTCTACAAGAGGTCATCTACGCCATCATGGGCCCCCCTTGCCCGCAAGGATGACACCATAGTCTTCACCCAGATACAGGATTCAGCATGCCAGGCTGCCACAGGATCCTCACAGCACCCTCACAGGATCTGCATGAATGCATCTAGGTCACCCAGCTCCTGTGCCCCAGCATTGTGCAGGGACACCAGCTGTCTGGTGCCATCCTCCATGTTGGATGCCACTGAGTGAACCACTGCTGCATCATCTGGATACATTCCCCCATAGTGCTCCATGTGGTGCCAAATCTGGGCTAAGAAATGAGGCCCAGTTCAAGTTGTCAAATGCTTTTTCTGCATCCAGAAAGATTAATGCAATCTGTTTGTCACCACATTGTTATAAATATTCAATTATATTCAAAATTACTCTTACATTATCTTTTGGTTGTCTTTTAGATAAGAGACTACACTGGTCTTCATGTATATAATCCTATTAGTATATAACAATGGGAAGCAGGCAAGCAAATAGGTATAGAAGAATTAAAGAAACTATAATTAAAACATTGTAATTCAGAATATGAGGATTTTTATTCCACATAAAGATTATGATTGAAATAATGCTACAAATATTTCAATGTTATTTAGAGATTTTATCTTCCCCACATGAACCTCTCTTTAGTCACCACTTTGTATTCTCAGGAAGAGTATACCCAAAAAGTCTTTCCCAAGTCATGAGCAATCACACCTAGCATAGCGCTCCAGATGGTCATACATACATGCATATAGCCACAGTAAATTACTGTTTACTATACCTGGATTGATAGCCAACAATTCTGCCTTCTATCAATTATTTCTAGTGTCAAGTTTTGGTTCAAAGCTTTAATGATATAATGATTCTTACACTGTCAGTTTTCTTCCTTGTGACAACCCAGTCACCATACTCTGATGTTATGTTTAGATCAAGAATTCTATTCCAGTGGTTCTGGTGCCCCCCTCTTCTCATTATCTACCATTGTCTTGGCCTAATACTAGACGTTTTTCAATCACCTTAGGCAAACAATTCCAATTCCAGGGAGAAGATGTGAAAATCTAGGTTTTTTAACACTTTAGAAGATATATTTACATCTGCTTGATGCTTAAAGACATCTATAATTTAAAAGTTAATAAAAACTGAGATTAAAACAGTGATTTGCCTTCATTTAAAGTATTTTCCTAAAGTTAATTTAAAAAATAATAATAATTCAGAGACAAAATCATTGAAAAGGAAGAATCAAACACCAATACATTTTATATCAGGGCTAATGGTATAATCAATTCAATGCTATACAAGTTTCTTCAGATTGCCCAATTAAAGTATTTACACTCAGATATTTATTGGATTAGAATCTTCAATAAATAATATCTAACAAATAAAAATAACATGAAATTAAACTTTTTACTGCTGATTAAAAATATTTACTATAGAAATGTTTTGGTTTTTTTGCCTTCTTTTGGCAGTAATAATTTTGCCAGAATCATTTTTTAAAATTATGTATAGATTCCAGAGTGTAGTCTTGGAGTGTTTACATAAAAGTGATGTAATAGGTAGCAAAATACGTAAGGTTTTGATTAAAATGCGATTTCTGCAATTTGCATGAGTACTTGCAAAATTAGGCCGAGAAAAATTAGGTCAAGAGAAAGTTTATTCCAAAATTATATTAATGTATACATTGAATTAAATAACTCAAATATAATTAAAATTATACTGTACTAAGATATTGAATGTTACAAAGATAACTTAAAATATCCTTGTCTAACTTGTGTTTATCACATTGGAGTCTTACCCATGCCTCACATTGACTCTGTAGTTATAGTATTAGAAAACTTTTCTTTCTGGAATGTATGCATAGTCTATGACTTCTTTATTCAATCTTTTTTTTTTTAATGGAACCATTAAGAACACATTACAGTAAGCAGAGGGCCAGCAAAAAGAGATGAGACAAATAGTTTAGGAACAGGTAATTGTTGCTTTCTACATACCACTCTTACCAGTGACCTTGCTGCCAGGACTGTTGAAAAGTGAGATCCATATACCTGAAATGGCTCACATTGTTGTTTTTCTTTTAGTTAATATTGTTATCATTCAGTGTGGAATTATTTTGCTTTTCTCTGTAAGGACAAAACAAATAGGAATTCTGTTTCATTTTTTACATATTCCAATAAGGGATAGCTGCTTCAAAATTAAACCATAACTTGTTTTAGATTGCTAAAGCACTAGAACAAAACTTTTTATTGGCCACCAATCAAGCTTAATAGTATCTTCCAAGAACTTTAGAGTGAATTGAAGAGTGTATGAAGAGATATTGACATGATCAGGGCTGGGATGCTACCGGTTCTGCCCGGCTCTATAGAACCAGAAGCTCTGAAGAGCAGCAGACATAGAACCGGTTTATTTCCTGCTTTTTCTACCTCAGCTGCTTTGCACGGCACAGCTAAGGTTGAAAAAGCAGGGGGAAAAAGGCTTTTCTAATGCTGCGCATTTGCGCGCAGCGCTTTTCAGCTGTCCGGGTGGCACAGCCTAAGGTTATTTTACACGCATGCACAGCATGCATCGGGCACGTGTGTGCAAAGCGCGCTTGCACACACAAATCATAATCACAGAACTGGTAGTAACGCCAGTTGAATCCCACCCCTGGACATGATGTTGGTGAGATTATAGCGTTAATATACAGACTAGTCAATGATTTTGGAGTACAAATGCTTTTTTTAAAAAAACTTTTTAAAATTAAATGATGTAACTTTTTTTTTTTAAATTTGCTATATAGTTTTCTTGTTTTCAGTCTTTAAATGGCAGAAAGTTTAAATTTGACTACGCACTCAGAAAGAAGCCTGCAGAAAAAGTTAAATTGCCTTAAAGTGTTCCATGTACATAAGACAATATTATACCTTACTGTTGTAATGAGCTGAAAACAAATACACATATATGCTAGTTTTTAAAGAATATTACAGTATCTATTGAGTAAATAACAGTTCCATTTTCCTTTACCTTCTTTAGGTTATGCAATGGCCTATTGGAAATCAAGGCCTGCTGTATGATCGTAACTGGATGGTTACAAATCAGAATGGAGTTTGTATTACTCAGAAGCAGGAACCACGTTTGTGTCTTATACAACCTTTAATTGACCTGGACCAAAATATGATGATAATCAAGGCAGAAGGTTGGTCTATACAGACTATTTCTTCTACTACTATGAAAGGGTTATCAAAATATTCATCCTATAAGATTATTATTTTAGATAGAGTCAGGATATAGTGGTTCTATATTTGAAAAAATATTGAGGCATAGTAAATTAATATCGTTACTCTCTGTTTCAAGATATTCTTGAGAAATATTAGATTTGTTAAACTAGCTCTTTAAGTTAGATACAGAAACTGACTGGCACACCATGCAGATAGCAAAGTACTGGCATAATATATTAGTATCGGACAGTTTCAGCGAGCAATCTGGTTGCCTCTCTTTTGAATTAACTGAAGTTTCCAGACCATTTTTAAAGGTTGCTCCACATACAGCATACTGAATAAATTCACCAGGAAATTATTGGAGCATGAATAAACTGTTGCACGGTTGTTTCTGTCCAAGTGTAGAGAGTAAAGAAGATGACCTTGATGGAGAGAGGGAAGATCTGTTATTAGGCAATAGGCAGATAAACATTGCAAAAACCCAGATGGGGATTATTGGTCTGAAAACATTCAAACAGACATTCACATGAAAAAAAAGAGAGAGGAGAAGAAGCACATCAGACCTGCAAGATTCTGTCACTGTAATCTATCTGGCATCTGCTTCTTGGTCTACTTGTAAGGTATGATCACAGTTAGTGAAAGGCATCTTGTTACTTGGGTTTAAAGTGACAAGGATGGATACAGGAGCATTCCCAAACTGCAATTCTTCTCTTTTAAGGTGAGTGCAGACCTCTCTGGAACAGGCAGGGCACCACTCAGCTATACAGATACTTAAACAACAAGCAATATTTGTCCTGTGCTGTCCGAATTGAGTTTCAGTCTAATCCATTATCCTGTCCAAGCTTGGTTCAGAACATCAATTGTTTCACCCATATTAAATGAAAAAGAGTGGTAGCTGTAGTAGATAACCAACCAGAGCACGAGGCAGGGGTCAAGTGTGTCGAATCCCTTTGTACACCTAAAATCTAAGTCCAACCCACCTTGAATCCCATTTATTCTTAACTATCGCCAATTTGCTTTGACAGTTAGAAGTTCAGATTTTTTAGAGCATTAACATGCAATAAACTTATATTCGTTTGAACTGCCTGGACTCCTGATTTCCTGCACTGGACATCATTTGCATATTGCTGACATCTCAGCTCACATACCTGAATGACTTCTCCCAACTATTTCAGCTAAATGTTAAAAGGCATATGAGATAAAATGGAGCCATAAACCTAATGTAGCCTATCCAAATAGGAGTGGGAGCAGTATAGTATAGTGCCTCCACATCCTAACACTGACCACCTGTTTAGGAGAATGTTATCATTGATGGTGCTGAAAGCTGCTGGAGAGGTCCAGAAGGCCCTTCCCCTTTTTCCTGGCAGACAGTATTCTGTAAGATACCCAAAAGACTATTCCATACTGAGGCCTGAAATCAGACTGAAATAAATCTAGAAAATTTGTTTCATCTAAGAAAATCTAGAGTAGATAAAATGCCATTGCTCAATCTGCTTATCTAGGAAGGGAATATTTGCCACTGGTTTGGATCCAGATTTAATTTCTGATTATTGTGTCTTTTAAAGAAGTTGCAACTGCTCTGTCTCCCTCTCTATTTTATGTCATGCTGGACCCAACCTGAAACCCCTTCCTACTAGATTTTATAAGCCAAGAAAAAGAAAGAAAGAAAGAGAGAGAGAGAGAGAGAGAGAGAGAGAGAGAGAGAAAGAAAGAAAGAAAGAAAGAAAGAAAGAAAGAGAGAAAGAAAGAAAGAAAGAAAGAAAGAAAGAAAGAAAGAAAGAAAGA